AATAATTTATTTTATGCTCATTAGCACACAAAATTAGTTCCGCTTAAGTATCTCAGCTGAAACAATTAGTGCTGTGTGCACACTGTGTCATTTCTGCTTTGGGGTCAGCTTGTTTTGGCTTTTAACTGAAGCAGTAATTTTGTTGCAACACACCTGCCCATCTCGATCTGGAATTCCCCTTGTACAGTCTCTCCTGGAACAAAAAAGAAAAGTTTCAGTTGAATCAACACTGTAATTATAATTTCAGGGTCTGCATAAAATAACACATGAAAAGTTAATCTTCATTAGGTTGTAAATCTCGATGCTAATGTTCAGTGGCAAGATAACTCAAGACAGTTCTTGTTTCATAGTATAAACAGAGATCAAACTAACACCTATCACTGCAATATGGGTAAAAAAGGCACCACTGAGGATGGCCAAGTGACACCAGTGACACCAAGGGAGAATACTGAGTGAACCTGTATCAGAAATGAGTTACAAGCAAAACCAAACAGTACAGTTTTCACCAGAGATCCTTTGAGAGCAAACAGAAATCTCAATGGCACCACACAGAAAATATTTTTCCATTCTGTGGCACTAAAACCCTGTATTAGCCAGGCTGCAAAGATGAAAACAGGGGAAGTTCTAAAGCAAAAGGAAATGGCTAAATCTTAGGGGTTCATAAAGCAGACTTCCACAGACCTAGAGAGGAGCTGTTGTATCTCCATCAGCATCATGGCAGACTACATTAGAACTTGGCTTATAATCTTTATGCAGCCTCTTTCTATGTCCCTCACCCACAGAAACAAAGGATTGCAAGCACGTGTGAAATCAGACACGAGAAATACACAAGAATGATTAAAAAGACACCAAATCTCCCTGAAGGCACAGGAAGAAGAAGAAGAAGAGCCAGTGCCTTGCCAACCTGTCCAAGCAGTGCTCCTGGTAGCGGCCGCGGTCGCGGTGGTCGAAGTCGTGGAAGCGATCCTGGCGGCCGAAGTCCGAGTGGTAGCGATCCTCCAGCGCCAGCCGCTTGGCCTCGGGCCAGTAGGGCTCATCCCGCCTGCACACGGGCTCACGTCAGCAGCAGCCCCAAACCACCTCCCCTTTCCTGCTCTCTCCAACCTCAATCAACCCAGTAATTAAAAATCTGTGTGCGTTAAGCAGGAGTCGCACTTCGGTTTCAGAGAAAATTTGGTTTATGAAAACCAGCTTAATTTCAGCACGTGGTGATGTAAGAAGAGAATGAGCATCCTTTCCCTTACCATTTAGAGTTGATACACACAACTCTACTGCTCTATTAACTCTATTATTACTACTCTCCTAGTACTACTACTACTCTATAATTACAACACTACTACTGTATTAACTCTATAGTTATGACTCTACTAGTACTTTATTACTACTCTACTATTACAACTCTACTACTCTATTAACCCTATTATGACTACTCTACTAGCAGTAATAATTTATTACTACTAGTAACTATTACTACTCTACTAGTACTCTATTATTACTACTCTACTATTACCACCCTATTATTACAACTCTATTAATCTAGTAACTATTATTACTACTCTATAGTACTCTACTATTCCAACTCTACTACTCTACTATTACTACTCTACTCTCTATTACTCAAAGTAGTAACAACTCTGGGTTGTTACTTCTCTTGGTCATCCCTCTCTGGGAAAGAAGAGTAGACCCAAACAGTGCTTACAGTGTACAAGCACATTATTTGCTCTTCTTCAAATTGCTATTAGTGCTAGAAGCAGCACATAAAGAGTCTTTCAGCTGCAAGCTCCCATGACTGCCTTATCCAGAGTGCTCCCCGTTTCCACAGGCTCCCAAGGGGGACGTGGCTCAGGAGTTTGGAGCCCCACTGCCCTGCTCCTCACCTGCTGTCAGGATCATAAGGTCTCCTCATGGCAGATCTCCGCTCCTGCTCGTAGCGCAGCTGCTC